GGAATTAGAATAATGATCAACAGAAACATGTACCAATGTGATTTGCTCTATTACTGTATAAAGTATGGGAAGAGCACACTATTTAGCAAAAGTAAATAATTAGTTTTATTGTATTTGTTTACTTTTAATGATATCACTGTATGACAAGAAAAAAGAAAAGAGTAACAAGAAATACACAAAACCCACAAACTAAGAAGAAAAACTGATTTTTCTGTAGATAAACAATATTCTGTAATGTGTGTAGAAAACTGTAATGCATCTACTTTTGTTGTTCCCAAAACCTTTAACTTCTGCAAAAACTGAGAGAACTGTTCCGACTCTCATCCTCTGTTAAAGTGTCAGCATGGTGGATCACCTTCATCAGGATTGATTTGCTAGCAGCCGTGTGTTGTTTGCTCGTTATGTCCAGATTGGTCAGTTCAAGTCACCTGCATGATACTTAAACGCTTCTCGGCCTGATGATGGCAGTGCAGCTGCTCATTCAACATGATGGCTTGTGTTTTCACTTCTGGGTAAGCATGGTTTTGTTTGTGATGCTCTGGCTAATTTCTGCATGGTATAGTCACACTTTGTCTTTTTTGTCGAAAGGGCTTTGCTGCTGGTTTTGCTGACTGGTTCAAGTTACAGCTTCCCTGCACAGAAAGGTAGAGTATCTCTTTTATCAATATGTAAAAGTTGTGTTTCTTAAAACTTATGACCTGCTCTTTCTTCCTAGGTAATAATCCCAGCTCAAGCAGCGGTCATGGTGCAAACCCTCCTGCTGGCTCAAATTGGGAAATGCCTTCCTATGGTAGCTATGCCCCGTCAGCTTCTGGTTCGGGGGCTCTCTCAAATCCAGCACCTGTACAAGCTGCCCCAGACAACGAATATCCTTATTCTCAACCCACTGGGCAGAAACAACCTAACTCTGCTGCACCTGTACCTTCAGGCTACGCTTTTCAACCAGCCGCTGTCCAAGGTAACTGATGCTAATTTTACATTCTTGTTTTAGCGCTGTTTTTTTAGTAACTGTTGGTGCTTACTACTTGACATTGACTTTGTGTTTAATTTTACCTTCTCATCCTAGAGGGCCCCTCAGCCTGGGCTGTTGAACCTCCTAGGCTTCCTTCTGATGGAACTCGATGGGTGTCCAGTAACCCTGATCATCTTTACTCCAGCAATGTCAGCCCTTACTATCCACAGTACCAGGGAGGTGAATTGTCAAAGTATGAAGGCGGCTTTGACCACAGCCGCTCTGAATCTGAGACTGAAACGCAAGGCTTCCAGCAATACCCTCGTGTTGCCGCAGTGGAAGCCCAACCAGAGTTCACCAGTGTTGTTCAGCCTCCCTTCCCTGGCAGAAGCTGGCCTTTTCTTCCTTATCCTTATGACTACATGTTTATGACCGGCCAGTATCCTCCAGGCACATTCACTCACTCGAGCCAAAGCTCTGAACAGGGAGCCAACCAGTGGCAAGACTCTCACTACATTAGGTACCGCTTTCCCAGTACTCAGCAGGCTGAGCCGGTACCTGAGCTGCAAGCCCCTCAGACCTACAATCAGCCCAGCCAACCTGTGGCGCAAAGCACTGGCGGTGTATACTATCCCTACCAAGGAGTTGTCAGGGCAGCTCAACAGGTGGACATGGAATGAGCAAGGTAGGCTAATTTCTTTTAGCTTCAAACAGAATTGTCAAAGCTCGAAAAATATAAATTGTAATCTCTTTCTTCTTTCCAGGTTGGCTACTAAATTGAGCCCTGCACACCTGTTTGTGGTTTCAATAAAGATCTCTTAACTTCACATTTGCCTTGCTTCTGTTTGTTTAGTTCAGTTACCCTGCCGAAAGACATGAGCAACATAATGGCTTGACTTGTTTTCAACTTGCAAAAAAAAAATATTCAACCATTCTACAGGTAGTGTTAGACTTGGTGCAAGTCAAATCCTTCTCACTCATGTCAGTGTAATGGGTCATGTTGGAACTCTTGCATGTAGCAGATAAGCGAAAGGGTTTAAACTCTAAAGATGGAAGGCATTGTTTATGGTACTAAAATTAGTAATTTTTGCTTGCGTTAATAATTGTTACCCTTAATGATTGCCTACTAAAATGTTTCACTAGGTTGACCCATTGCTTGATATGTCTTGTAAAATAACTGTGCAAGGGCTCTTAAATATAAGGCTGTTCTCACCAAGTACCTTAAACTACTTTGCATGTACCAAGTTTTGACTCCACCCATTTTAAGTGGTAGTTTGAAAGTACTCCCAGTGACCGTGCAGGCAAATGGTTGGGATTTGCCTGAAAGCGAAGGGTGCGTTTCTCTACCTTGCCCGTAAGCTTCCACAATGTCTTCATGCCTAAATGAACTGACACATTCAAGATAATATGCTTACTCTGTCTACTGCATGCCACAGGGAAACTTTGGGCCTAAATGTGGGTAATTGCGATGCATTCGGGATGAACATTTATATGGTCCTTCAAATCACTGACACTTCTACAGCATTTCTTGGGATCCATATTTTGATGTATAGAACTATTTACAACACTGGTTGTACAATGGTTCCCCTAAACCCTTTAATTCACTGCTGATCTGCCTAATCAATGAATCAGGATGTGGGAGTTTTAAATCCAACTTCCGCAGCTGCAACATTTGAGAAATGTACTAGTCTATGGGCCAGACCAGATTCCGGTACCACTCAAGGTGGCAAAGGTTAGTGGGGTTTTGGAAATGTCCATGTGTGTAGATTATATTTTGGTATGATAGACTTTCCTGAGTGGTAGCTGAGTCATAGAAACCAGCTCATGAAGAGACCCCCCCCCTCCCCAAGCTGAAATGCATTTCAGATGCTGGTGCATATCTTGGTTCAGAACATTTGTCAATGTTTAATACTATTGTGTTTGGTATCATTTTAAAGGGGGCATTCTTGGCTTTCATTCAAGACCAATTGTGAATCTTTCTGAAATACATTGAGGTAACTGTGGCTCTTGAAATGGTAAAAAAACCCACAAATTTTCCCTCCAATTTCCGCTTAATATAGGCTTTCGCATTTAGCGCTGTGACATCTAGGAACATCAGGGACACAAAATACAGAAATTGGAATACTCACAAGCCTCTAAGGATTCAGGAAATGTCTGATATGCCCATACTTTATCACTGTGAAACAATATTATGAGAACAATGACTGACAGAAATCTCTCACGTTTACCCTCCCATTTCAGCTTGTAATGGAATGTGACGGGGCTAGAACAAGGTCAAATACAATTTGTAACAGTATACTCTGAAAGAGAGTCATTTTGTGTCTTTAAAATAAATGTTTACTCTGTTTTATAAAACAATGAAAAAATAAATAAACCAAATTAAAAAAATTAAGTACTTCACTCACTCATACAGTACGCACTACTCACAGTACTTCCACTTTAAGAAAGTGGCTCTTCTTTGAAGCCTACCACCACCCAGTATCCAGCACATGCCCTTTCTGCTTCAACCAGTACAGCTGTTCCAGCGTGTAAAGAAATTAGTGAGCCCGCTAGCTAGCTAGAGATCTGTGATTGACCCGGGAAATGGAAGCAAAGCCATCTTTTGGAGGGTATCAGAATATGTTTTATTGGCCAAGTATTTGTACACATATATGGCAATTGACTGTGGTTTACATTGCTCCCAGTCTATAACATATAAATAGACAAACAGTTATGAACAAGTTAAACAAATAATACATATTGACAACGTAAGTGCTAACTTTACCCTCAACATACTGTGTTGTTATTGTACATGATAAAAGGATTATAACATTTTAACTAATTGCCCAAGCTTTGATTTGCTGCACCACTAGCCTGTGCACATCAGTACAGCCTAACAACAATAACTTGCTGAATGCCTGACATACTGATTTGGATTGTTTAACCTGCATAGCATTAAGCATATACCACAGACTGTAAATACTACTGGACGGAACCTGAGTGACGTCACCCACCTGTTTCGGTAGGAGGCTCTGGGGGCTCATCAGCAGCCGCCCTGATGGAAATCCTGTCTCACCCTAACTTTCAGTCAACCTAACGACAGGCTGAGTGCTGGAGCTGAGGCAGGTTTTAAGCCTCTTGACAAATCGTTGCATCGCGCCCAACTGTCAATCAGGTCAGCTACGCGCCTAACTATGGATAATTCATTGAGATTTCAAAATCAAAACGGAGCCGTTCAACAAAAAATCACCCCCCGTACAGTGTGTGCCAGTGATGACAATAAATAATCAGACCTAAGTTTCAGCACAAAGTGTTGACTCCTGGAGATCTCTACTCAGGGCAGCTCAGATACAAAACCATGAACCAGTTTTGGAACTGGCAAAAGATATTCCTGAAGGTCAGGTCATTTCAGAAATCTACTACTGAAATGAGGGGGGGGGGGGTCTCTTTATGAGCTGGTTTCTATGACTCAGCAACCACTCAGGAAAGTCTATCATACCAAAATATAATCTACAGACATGGACATTTTCAAAAATCATCACTAACCTTTGCCACCTTGAATGGTACCAACAAGTTAAATTTTGGGCTCTGGCCTATGGACTATATGCCACATATCCATCTTCTGATCCAATTCTTACATTAAGTAAAAGCCATACTATTACTGTATAAAGTATGGGAAGAGCACACTATTTAGCAAAAGTAAATAATTAGTTTTATTGTATTTGTTTACTTTTAATGATATCACTGTATGACAAGAAAAAAGAAAATCACAAGAGTAACAAGAAATACACAAAACCCACAAACTAAGAAGAAAAACTGATTTTTCTGTAGATAAACAATATTCTGTAATGTGTGTAGAAAACTGTAATGCATCTACTTTTGTTGTTCCCAAAACCTTTAACTTTTGCAAAAACTGAGAGAACTGTTCTGACTCTCATCCTCTGTTAAAGTGTCAGCATGGTGGATCACCTTCATCAGGATTGATTTGCTAGCAGCCGTGTGTTGCTTGCTTGTTATGTCCAGATTGGTCAGTTCAAGTCACCTGCAGTATACTTAAACGCTTCTCGGCTTGATGATGGCAGTGCAGCTGCTCATTCAACATGATGGCTTGTGTTTTCACTGCTGGGTAAGCATGGTTTTGTTTGTGATGCTCTGGCTAATTTCTGCATGGTATAGTCACACTTTGTCTTTTTTGTCGAAAGGGCTTTGCTGCTGGTTTTGCTGACTGGTCCAAGTTACAGCTTCCCTGCACAGAAAGGTAGAGTATCTCTTTTATCAATATGTGAAAGTTGTGTTTCTTAAAACTTACGACCTGCTCTTTCTTCCTAGGTAATAATCCCAGCTCAAGCAGCGGTCATGGTGCAAACCCTCCTGCTGGCTCAAATTGGGAAATGCCTTCCTATGGTAGCTATGCCCCGTCAGCTTCTGGTTCGGGGGCTCTCTCAAATCCAGCACCTGTGCAAGCTGCCCCAGACAACGAATATCCTTATTCTCAACCCACTGGGCAGAAACAACCTAACTCTGCTGCACCTGTACCTTCAGGCTACGCTTTTCAACCAGCCGCTGTCCAAGGTAACTGATGCTAATTTTACATTCTTGTTTTAGCGCTATTTTTTTAGTAACTGTTGGTGCTTACTACTTGACATTGACTTTGAGTTTAATTTGACCTTCTCATCCTAGAGGGCCCCTCAGCCTGGGCTGTTGAACCTCCTAGGCTTCCTTCTGATGGAACTCGATGGGTGTCCAGTAACCCTGATCATCTTTACTCCAGCAATGTCAGCCCTTACTATCCACAGTACCAGGGAGGTGAATTGTCAAAGTATGAAGGCGGCTTTGACCACAGCCGCTCTGAATCTGAGACTGAAACGCAAGGCTTCCAGCAATACCCTCGTGTTGCAGCAGTGGAAGCCCAACCAGAGTTCACCAGTGTTGTTCAGCCTCCCTTCCCTGGCAGAAGCTGGCCTTTTCTTCCTTATCCTTATGACTACGTGTTTATGACCGGCCAGTATCCTCCAGGCACATTCACTCACTCGAGCCAAAGCTCTGAACAGGGAGCCAACCAGTGGCAAGACTCTCACTACATTAGGTACCGCTTTCCCAGTACTCAGCAGGCTGAGTCGGTACCTGAGCTGCAAGCCCCTCAGACCTACAATCAGCCCAGCCAACCTGTGGCGCAAAGCACTGGCGGTGTATACTATCCCTACCAAGGAGTTGGTCAGGGCAGCTCAACAGGTGGACATGGAATGAGCAAGGTAGGCTAATTTCTTTTAGCTTCAAACAGAATTGTCAAAGCTTGAGAGATATAAATTGTACTCTCTCTCTCTTCTTTCCAGGTTGGCTACTAAATTGATCCCTGCATACCTGTTTGTGGTTTCAATAAAGATCTCTTTAACTTCACATTTGCCTTAGTTCTGTTTTGTTTAGTCGAGTCATCCTGCCGAAAGACATCAGCAACATAATGGCTTGAAGTGTTTCCAACTTCCTAAAAAAATATTCAACTATTCTACAGGTAGTGTTAGACTTGGTGCAAGTCAAATCCTTCTCACTCATGTCAGTGTAATGGGTTATGTTGGAAATCTTGCATGTAGCAGATAAGCAAAAGGGTTTAAACTGTTAAGACTTAAAATTAAAGGCCTGATTTATAGTATTGTAACTACAGTTACTCTTGAGTTGATGATTACTAGCCTTAAAGAATGCCTAAAAATGATGTTTGAATAGGTCAACCCATTGCTTGATATGCCTTGTAAAACTCTGCAAGGGCTCTTGCATATAAGGCTGTTCTCACCAAGTACCTTTAAACTACTTGAGCTGTACAAAGTTGGACTCCATCCAGTCTCAAGCAGTAGTTTCATGATGGTGCAGGCAAATGTTTGGGATGGTGGTATGATGATGCATGGGGCAACACTTCATATTGGCCCAGGAAAGCAAGATTACAGTCCTTGGTCAAACCAAAGGGAGCTTTTGATGCTTACCCATAAGCTTGCAGAATGTCTCCATGCCTAAAAGAATATGCCCACTTTGTCTATTGCATGCCACAGGGAAACTTTGGGCCTAAACGTGGGTAGTTACCAAGCACTTGGATGAACCTTTACATGCTCCCTCACATCACTGGCACTCCTATTGCTTTTTTTTTTTTTTTTTTTTTTCCCAGGATCCATATTTTGGTGTGTAGAACTGTTTACACAACTGTGGTTGTACAATGGTCTCATGGTTCTCCTATACCCTTTGATTCACTGCTGATCTGCCTAATCAATGAATCAGGGTGTGGGACTTTAAAATCCAACTTCCCCAGCTGCAACATTAGAAAGACGTATGCCACATATCCATCTTCTGATGCAATTCTTACACTAAGTAAAAGCCATACATTTTTAACACATGGGAGGCCAAAGAATGGCTGGTGAAAGGTCCTTTCTTTATCTCACTTGAGTACGTCCATAAACAAATCCCAACGTCTTGTGTAGTTTTGATGTATAGTTTGGTTTGAGCTGCATCTCAAACAAGAGGGAATCAATACCCAATCTGTTACAGTGACATTGCCTGATGTCATTAATGGACAGTGGGCATCCTAATTCATATAACAAATCACCTCAAAGAGTCTCCATTGATCTTTAATTAGAAGCAGCTGTTAATCACCTTTATGACTCTCCTCTGTGGCACCGTAATGGTTTCTACAGTGAAGCCACAGCAGTCTGTTCAAGCCAAAGAACAGCAGCATCAGCAGGGTGTGTTTACTGCCTCTGTTTATGTGCAGCAAAACACACTATTAATGGATCCCTTTCAGGTTATTTTGGACATTTAATAATTACACTTTTTTTATTCTATTTGAGCCAGAGTGAAAAAAAGAAACACAATCTTCATCTCTTACTCCTGTGCCACTGTAACAACCTAAAATCCTCTTTTTCTAATGGTCTTTTCAGGCAAAGGGACAAACAATGACCCACAGGAGAGAAATGGCAATTACCTCCAGTAAGGTGCCCACTTCACACACCTGTCACAACACAGATGAACCCATCATAAAAGGCTGGTGGAGAGGGACAAAAACGAGAGAGTTCTCCCCCGGTGACCCTTCAGCTTTCATAGTCTCCCCTCCTTTTCAGCTCGACTATTAAGACATAAAGGGGTCAGTCCCCAGACGGCTCCATCCTTTATCCTCCCCTCACACACTCATCTCTGACATAAAATCCTGAATGTGTTCTCTTATTGGTTGCCACTGAGCATTGACATCAAGATTGTAATTGTGATTAATATTCTGAGGAAATGGCTTCTTCTTTAGGGTTTCATTTATAGTTACTTTTTGTGACTTTAAGGAGTAAAGGCTTTCCATTTGAATGATCAATTGCTAGTTTTCTATGGTAACTTTGTTCTGTATAACCAAACTCATTTAAACTCAAATTACAAAAACAGGAAATTAGTTTGAAATATCACTTTTAATAAATGTAATTTAATTCTTTCAGTGAGGCAGTGCTTGAAAGCGTTTTGCATGCAGCGCAGAGAAAAATGAATATACATATTACCATATGTTGCGATTTGGCATCTGGCGTCCTCCTGTGCCAGTCAATGTGAAGGTGGGATCTGGTTCGACTTAGCCATGAGGCAAATGTCGGCCTAAACAAACATGAATTTCAGATGTCTGGCAGTAAAAAAAGCCAGATAAAAAGACATGGCTATATGGGGGAAATAATTTGCCCATAAAATTCATAGATCTTCATACTTGAGTGTTATTCCTCCAAGTGTTTTACGGCTCCCTCTTAACATAATGAAACAGAAATTAAATCCCTCGGGGGGGGGGAAAGATCTGACTTTTATTTACAGTCGTTCTCATCAGTGTGATTTCTTTTGATGAGATTCGGTCATTTATTGTCAAATTTACTTATTTATCTATCTAAGCTCACACACTCAATTTGAAGTGCACAAAGAACAGCAAATCCTTTATTCTCTGCTGAGATTCCTCACATTTGAATACCTTTGTGGTATGAATACCATATCATTAAGTGCACCGCAGAAATAGAGGAGGCATCAAATTCCATTACCATGTACAACTGCTTTACTTTTTTTTTTCCAAGGGGGAGGGAAAAAAAGGGATGTGTACAGACCAGTGTTAAAAATCTACCCCCAGCCACTGCGAACGGCCCAATTGCCTTGTGATTAACGCACAATAAAAGAATGTGATGGCTTAAAGAAGCAGCAGGAAAAGCTGCCCAGTGAAAGATGGGTGTATGGCACACTCTATAATTAAGCCAGTCTGCACTTGATGAAAGTAGATCACACTGGCGGGCCACGGCTTCACAGCCAGTTTGTTTTTACGACATAATTACAGTCCAAATCAAATGAGAAGATTTAATATTGCGCCACGACAAGCATGTGCCCAATGCCAACAATGACACTGACCCCCCTGTGGCAAGGTGTGTGTGTGTGTGTGTGTGAGTGTGTGGGGGGCAGGTCAGGCGTCAGGAAGCCTACACAGAGAATCTTCCCCACCACAGTAGCTATGTACCTGCGTCTGGGTCCACCTGGGAGGTCTGACACCAGTGGAATTAAACATACAGTGGGACAGGGGAGAGAGGAGAGTCTGTCTGTAAAATAAAGAAGGAAGGGAAGATGAGGAGTGGGAGGAAGGAGGAGTTATGTGGAAGAAAAGTTTATCTGGAGCTATAAATCGAGTAGAAGCAGGCAAAGGTGACGAATCGGGGAACAAAGAACTGAAAATAGATACAAGTGAAGTTATGACAGACGGAGCAAGCCATGAAGAGAGTAACAGTAAAGGGAAGACTTAAATAAGCAGACACAGAGGGTGTGGCTGAAGCAAAAATATAAATAAATGTTTTGCTCGATTGTGTCTCCATGGCGAGGTGACGGCCTGTTGAGAGGGGGAAAAAACATTGTTTAAGTGGATCACATCAGGTGTCTTCGTTGTCATGTCTGCTCACTTTTTCTTACTATTATTTGCAGAAGTCTTTAAAAGTCAATGTAAATTTGAACTACACCCAGTCTTATTTCTGCAGGTTTGGGGAACTAATCATTCAAACTGAAACAGCTATTTTATAATGACCTCATGTAATTAACCAAATGGAGACTATAGCTGGGAATTTGGGATGATCTCTGAAGCCTTTAACTGATTCATTTTTTTCTGTATAGAAAGATGTGGTGGAATATTTTGTCTGGCTCATTTGTTTCACAAGAGGGTCATCTTTTTGACTCATTAGTTCTTTCTAGCGTCATAGCCTGGTAATTTAATCAGTTGGGTGCGTCTTATCAAAGGAAAATGCCTTCATCAGTGTATTTAAGTTAGATGCCTAACTGCTGATTCTGAATTGGAAATAAGTTATAACATAAAGATATCTTGAAAATGTCCTCTTATATTTGCAAGCTAAAAACTTTAAGTATGTATAGCACGAACAGATATCACTGAATAAACGTCAGCCTCATTTCACTCTTTTCCATGTAAAAGTAACAATGGTTTTGATCTTTCCTATATATTTAAGGGACTTGTGAATATAAGGGATCAAAAATAATCACAACCATAAGTTGTCATTTCTGTTTTCTGATGAGTGCAGTTTTGATGCTCGACGACATGGTTGCATCGTAAACGACCAAAACCTCCCGCCGAGTGGCTTCAGTGTTTTTCACCCTCTGAAAAAAAACTGCATTTCCTGTCCTTTAGTTCCACGCTCGACATGACCACAAAGCCTTTGTTCCTGCGGGTCAGATTTTCCCAAAAGAGAGAGTCTTCCCAAGCCGCAGCTGTTGAGTGACCACGCTCGACCACACCGCTCTCAGTCTCCTGACCACCTTCCTCTCCCTGCTCGCCCTCCATCCATTTCTCCCTCCTTTTACCCCCCTGTTTTCCCAGGAGCAGCCAGCTGTGCCGGATTTACTCTGGTGAAGCCTAGTGTGTTTACTGGGCGGGCAGTGTCATTTGACTGGGTACTGGTCAGGAGCAGTAGATTAGTGACTGTATATCTATAGAGAGGCCAGTGGGGCCTGAGCCCTGTGATCCAATGGAAAGTGGGGTCTCTGTGGCCGCCTTGTGGCTCTGTGTGGCCGAGGACGTCAACCGCCATCCCTGCTGACACCCTGTTCCCCGAGGACGTGGTTTTACTCCAAACCGTGATTTCCCAACTCCCGCTCTGCGACTCACTGTCTGCATCTACAGGGCCTCTGCCCAGCGCTTACTGGTGAAGAGGATACAGCACCTCCTCACCACAGGCGCTCCAGGCCACTTTTCTCCCACGGAGCTGGGCACACAGGAGGGGGGCCTGCTCCTAAACAAGCTTAAAAGAGAACTTTGTAACCTCGTGTCACATGTGGCTGGTGGTGAAGAAGTGGCCGGATCGGATCTGTGAGCAAACATTTGTGCGGCTTCTGATTATACACAGAATAGCCCTTTCACAAAATAG